CAGAAATTTCTTTAAAAAATTTTGTACTGTCAGATGTGTTCTAACTACGGGCAATGCAATCGAAAGATAGGCATTTGATGCGAATTTTGATTCTTTTCTGATTTTGCGTTTCCGAAATTTACAAAAAAATTTTTTTTTGTCATAATTAAGCAAAAAACCCATGGGCCAGCAGCCGTTGCACAAGTGGCCAGCCCTTTGACATTCCGGTAACTTCAGCCATTTCCTTGAGAGTAACTTCTTGTAAACAACACTACGATTGTATTTCCAAGTAACACGCACTTCTTGCAACTGAATGCCATCCTTATACCGCACAGTTTAGAAATACTAAGAACTAATAACATTTTTTATTAATTTAACTATGATACTAAGAAATGTTTAGAAGGAACAACTGCACTGTTGATTGAATATTAGCTTAAAAATCTAGAACTCGGACTGTGAAAAAAAATGACCCGTTAGCAAAAGAGATGTGCACGACAAACGATTCGTTTCGGATGCCGCCATTTTGCAAAATTGTTCACCATAGTTAATAATTTGCGTAATATCTGAGCTCCACGTGATTAAACCGCCACTGAAGAATTGGTCTAATACTCCAGTTCTTTGGCAGTGGCCATTTTTCTGGAATTAGAAGCTGGTATATTTTCTAGTCGATGAGGATAACTCATTTATTGAGGTCCAGGACAATACTTGCCACGAGGTGATGATGCTTAGCACACGTCAGTGATGTTTGGAAAGTTCTAAAGCCTTTCTAAGTACTTCTGCTAGGAGAAAACACTGAGCTGTTATCCCGTCAGAAACTAAGCGCATAAAAATCAGGATGACCAGCAGCTGCATAAGCGGAGAAGCCAACCGTGAACTACTGAATATGCGTTCGGGTATATATATATATACCCGATATATATATATATATATATATATATATTAGCAAAATTGGTCCAGCTTCTAATGTGAAGATCAGCTACCTATTCATGTTCCATACATCCACATAAGTTTTCCCATCCTAGCTATGACAAGCATTTCTATTATGAGTTGCATGGCTCTAGTTTCAATGAATCTCTTGCACCGCACGTGTGACTTATTTCATGGAAGAGGAAATAAAAATTATCTCATTAATCTCTAACTTCTTTCATCTGTTATAAAATAATAGTTTATGCGCAGCAGTTATACTGACGAGATCCAGCTGTGACGTTGAGCTAAGACGTACAGCTTAATGGGGCGAAACATTTTAATCGCAAGTAAACTATTTATTTTTTATATATGCTACAAATCTCTGACTTTAATATTCCCAGTATACTTCACCACGAGTGAATATTTACTCTTCAAATAACTTTTATAATTCTGCTTACGTAATGAAACTGTCGTCTTTAGAAACGCAAATTCGATTCTCTAGCACTTATGGATTTGCAAAATCGAATTTCTCCCCAAACTTGTTGGATAATTTTGACAAAAAATCACTACTTTCAGTAGGTTATTGTTTTAAAAAGCGAAATTTAAAGACAAAAGTAAGAGTTCTTTTTAATAGTATGTGGGGTATTAGCTAAAGGCTGGGGGAAACTTTCTGAAAAGGCGTGTTTTAGTCATGAAGCCACAGACATTCTATTTTTATAGATAAATACGAAAAGAGAGAAATACAGATGGAGGGAAGGAGTCTTGAAGGAGGAAGAAAAGAGGTAAAAAAGCTGTTCGAAGATAATAATAGCAAAATTAACGATATGGATCAGTTTTTCTTTTTTTTTTGTGCGGTATCTGGGGTAATAACTAACGGTTGGAGGATAGTGTCTGAAGAAAAGTGTTTCAGTTCACGCAGCCACATACATTCTTTTTTTAAAATAAATATGAAAAGGGAGGAAGGAATTAAGGAAGGAGGAGGAGGAAAAGAAGAGGAAGTAAAAAAAAAGTCACTCAGTAGATCGCTATTAACAGCAAAAATTAAACGTAAGCATCAGTTTTTTTTCTTTTTTCTTAAGTAGTGTCGGGAGTAATAGCTAACCGCTGGAGAAAACTGTTTCAAGAGGAGTGTTTCAATTCATGAAACCATATACATTCTTTTTTTAAAAGACAGCTATGAAAGAGGAGAGACAGAGAAGGAGAAAAAGGAAGTGAAAAAAAAAAGGAAGAGAAATAAAAAAAAATTTTTTTTCGAAGAAAAGCTAACCATGCATTTGGAATCCAATTGGGGCTTTCCGTTCACGCTCTCCGTATCCATTTCATTATCATCTGTGCTATGACTGCTTGCTCCAGTCCTGTTCGGCAAAAATGGGTTGCCACTGGTTCCGGCTGCCGATAGATTCGGGAACATGAAGCTCGGATCTGGCACTGCGATCGCCCCCGGTAACAACAGTCCGTTGAGAAGCCCCAGGGCATTGCCGTTTGTGCCCGCATTTCCCAATGCTTCCATACCTCCTGTAGTAATAACTGTGAAATTAAAAATCACAAGTACTTATACAAATACCACCCCCATGGGCAGATCCAGGACGGCTTCTTGGTGGGAGGAGGGGACGATTTCCCTTCCCCTTCCCTCCCGTCACTACATCGGAAGCATCACAGTCCCTCCCCTCGCTCCTCCTTTCGATCGTCGCTATTTTAGACGCTCCACTACTCACTCTCGCTCGTTCCGACACTAGACTGCGACAGCGGTCAGCAGAAAGGGGTCCAGGGGGCGGCGAGTGGGGAGGGGGGGGGAGGGAGAGGCGGGATCCACATATTCACTTCCCTGTCCTTTTTTCTGTTTTGCAAAAATGGCCTAATCTTATAAATCAAAACAAATTTGAGGACCAACAGCAACAGTACCACTGGTAGCAGCAATAGCAGCAGCAGTAGCAGCAGAAGCAACAGCATCAACTGTAAAATAGCAAATAGGATTCATAGAGTTCGATAAAAGAGGCCGAAAAATTTATCAGACGAAAAATCTACAGGAGCGATTTTGAGCGAAAAAAAAAACCCTTCACATTCAATTTACAAAAAAAATCTAGCCACATCAGAAGGGACCCCATTCATCCTGGGCTGCTTCCAGATCGCCTGCTTGCACCGGGTATTTTTCAGCGGAAGCCGCCCAAGTGGTTTCCTTTTATGGCCATTTTTTGTGCGTCGTTGCATGCAGTATTCATTAGCATTCTCATCCCAGCGTCCCATGGTAAACGCATATGCATGTGTGTGTGGGTGTGTTTGTGTGTGTGTATGTGTGCGTGTGTGTGTTCTACGGTACGTGAAATTATTTTTTCATACTAAACTTACGAGTGGGGTCCATTCCGGCCATGTTGAGCTGCTGCAGTAGAGTTTGCATCAAATCCTCCGGCTTAACCTCTGCTGTATAATTGTTTTCGCCCAATTCTTCCACCTGTCGTCTGAACAATCGAAACGATCGCGATGTATTTGGAGGATGGTTGTGTGGTGTCGCTCGTTTGAGCACCTAAAATTATCAAAATTCACAGTTTTGAGGAAGTGATTTATAAAAAAACAACACTTATCGCCCTCTAATACACCAATAGGGCATCGGCTCTACCAAATTTAGCTTGCAGATGGCACAACATTTTTAAAGGAAGTGATTTTAATAGCTTATCAATATATGTATTTTTGCATTTGCATATATGCAAAAACGAATAGAGAGACTGCGGTTTGTGCTTCTTACCCCCTCCTCGTTCCTCCGCCCCCCCCCCCCCCCCCCCCCCCCCCCCCCCCCCCC